GTGCCCCTCCCCCAGGGAAAGAAAGACTCTGCAAATTGACCCCCCACCCCCAATAAAACAACCAAAGATTCCCAGCCAGCTTCCATGTCTTAAGAGAGGCCTAGAATTCTCCGTCTCTGGGTTTCTTAGCAGGCACCTGAACCACCCACCCCAGCTGGCTCTTTTGTGCACCAGAATTCATCCTGTGAGTGAGGACAAGACTTGCAAACTTTGAGCTCAACCACTTTTTCTTTGATCCGGTACCACCACTCCACCACTCCCAGACTGTGAAAGCAGCCCTGGAGCTGAGAGGTAGCTGGGGCCAGGCACTGATGCCCATTTCTTGAGGGAGGGGAGCTCCCTTCTGCCCCTCCCCAACAGCACTGGCTCACTCTTGTCCATTTTCCAACTGTCCCTTTTTCCTCTGCAGGCTGTGACAGAGGCCTCCGCCCTCTTAAAGCCAGGAAGCCTCATTTGCAAGCTAAGGCAGCTCTCTGCTCAGGCACCGCCAGGCCCTTCGCCCTCGGAGTTTCCAGTTCAGGAAAGACCGGGCCTTCTGGGAAACCAACCATGGACTCTGGCCTTGATCTCTCGCCCACTCCCCACTCTCCCAAAGGGAGGGGCTATTCTAACTTCAGTCCCACTGAATGCAGAAAATCTTCAAGACCAGCCTGCCTTGGGGCACCCCTGGGAGTGGAGGGGCAGCCCCTACAAGGGCATTTGCCACACTCACTGCAGTTTTTCGGAGGGGGGGGGCTCTGTAAGGCAGCGAATGCTTTGTGCTCATGCCAAGGACCTAAAACTAATGGGTCCAACCTTGGCCACTTTAAAACCTCCAGACTTCAACTCCCAGAACTCCCCAGCCTGCATAGCTAGATCTGTTCCTGTCCTCTGGGACAAGAGAGAATATATATCTATATCCATAACTCCTAACCTTTCCTCATACAGCTTTCTCCCCAGACCCTTCGCCCTCTTGGTAGCCCTCCTCTAAGCTTGCTTCAGTGGCCCACTCTCCATCTTGAGCCAGAGACACAGCCCTGCCAGAAGGGACTGACAGAGCAGACTTCCTGAGACCTGAACTCTGGGACCCTGTAAACGTACTCCAAAATTACCTGGGCTTTACTTAGCAACCACATCTCACTCCTGGCTGCTTCTTTAGAGTGGAGTGGAGTGGAGTGGAGTGGAGTGGACTATGGGGAGTGGAGTGGAGTAGAGCAGAGCAGAACATTTTATCTGGCCAAGTGTGATTAGACACACAAGGAATTTGTCTCCGGTAACAGATAACAGAATAAAAGAGTTGGAAGGTACCTTGGAGGTCTTCTAGTCCAACCCTTGCTAAAGCAAGGGACATTATAGCATTCCAGACAAATGGCTGTCCCATCTCTTCTTTAAAACCTCCAGTGACGGAGCACCTACAACACGGGTGTCAAACACAAAGTGTCACATTGCCGTCATGTGGCGTTGCGTGACTTTTTTCCCTTCGCGGAGCTGGGGTGGGTGTGGCCTGCGCGTGACGCATCCAGTCCATGGGCTGCCAGTTTGACACTCCTGACCTACCACTTCTGAAGGAGGCCATCCCACTTATTAGTTGTTCTCAATGTGAGGAAGTTTCGCCTAGGTTGCTTTTCTCCTTGATCAGTTTCCACCCGTTGCTTCTTGTCTGCATTCAGATTCTTTGGAGAATAGGCTGACCACCCCTCTTCTCTGGGGCAGCCCCTCAAACACTGGAAGACTGCTGTCATGTCCTTCTGTTATTAAACTAGACATACCCAATTCCTGCAACCGTTCTTCATATGTTTCCCCCTCCAGTCCCTTAATTATCTTTTGTTGCTCTTCAAGATGCATTTTTAAACAGAGTAATAATAGTATAATAATGATACCAGTAAGAGAAGGTAGTAGAAAAGATGAGGAGGATAGTAGTGATTCAGCCCTACTACAGGGGTAAATATCCGTAGACCTAAGACAGTGCTGTGAGAGTGAGGTGTTCAGCAGAGTGATGACATGAGGGGGAAAAAACTACCTTTGTCTCTAATTGTTTTGGCGTGCAGTGCCCTATAGTGGCATCCCGAGGGGAGGAGCTGAAACAGTGGATGTCCAGGATGTGAAGGGTCTGCGGATATTTTCTCAGCCTCTTCCTGACCTGTGCTGTGTACAGATCCTCCGTGGAAAGTTGGGGTTGTTTTTCCTGCAGTCCTAACGATCCGTTGGAGTCTCGGTCTGTCTTGCTGGGTTGCTGTGCCAAACCAGTCAGTTAAAGAGGTGCAGATGACAGATTCCATAATTCCTCTGTGGAACTGGATCAGCAGCTCCTTGGGCAGGTTGAGCTTCCTGAGTAGAAGTAGGAAGAACATTCTTTCTTGTGCCTTTTTAATGATGGTTCTGATCAACAGAGATGCCCAGGTCCCTACCTTGAGGAAATCCTCATACTTCCATAACTACCTTCAGCCCGAAGATGCTTGTCTATCTGGAAGAAGGGCTCCAGCAGGCACAACCACAAGGATGGACCACGAGGTCCTTCTGGCTGAGCTTCTCAATCCAGGGTGGGGCCCGCAAGACGAGGGTTATTCCTCCATGAATGCTGTTCCTCTAACAAGATTCATGAAATGCTCATGGTATGACATCAAAGGGATTTTCAAGTCTAGCCCAACAATGCCATAGCGGCCTAACCCATATAGGACTGATGGCCCTCTGGCCCTCTGAAACTCTCCCAAGGTGGGAGAGACCCCCAGGCAGACCGTTGCATTGATGCTGGCCATCAGGACGACTTTCCTTCAATCTAGACCTCTGTGGTTGAACTTCGGCCCCTTCTGCTTATCCTGTCTTTGCTTCTTCAACATCAGGACAAGGCAGCCATGTAGACACTTGTCAACATCTGTCCTCCCTTTGCCAAGCCAAGAGGGCTCAGCTGACAGGCTAGCCAGACCTCTGTACTCTTTTCAGTTTCTACGCTTTTTAACCTTCTGTTCTTTTATTTTAACTCTTCCACGCTACTCTATTCCACACTACCCTACCCATCTTCTCTTCTCTTCTCTTCTCTTCTCTTCTCTTCTCTTCTCTTCTCTTCTCTTCTCTTCTCTTCTCTTCTCTTCTCTTCTCTTCTCTTCTCTTCTCTTCTCTTCTTCTCTTCTCTTCTCTCTTCTCTTCTCTCTTCTCCCCTTTCCTTCCCTTCTCTTCCCCTCCTCCTCTCCTCTCCTCTATATTATTAAGGCTGACTTTAGCTAGAACTGGACACAGGACATTCACCAAGGTCTAACCAGCAGAATTATGGAAGTCAAATCTCCCACAGCTGGATATGGTATTTCTGTTGGCCTTTTAGCTGCCGCATCACCCTGCTTGCTCATTCCCAGCTGGGGGTCTGCTAGTCATCCTCCCCATAGTGCCCCCCCCCCAGCTGCCTTCCCACTCCTGCCTCCGATTTGTCCTCCCCGGGAGCTCTTAAAATCATCCTACTGGATTTGGCTCACTGATGCCGCCCTCTGAGGTCATCTTGAATCGGGGTTTGCCTCCTCACTGACATTTTCCCTTCCCCGTTCTGTCCTCTGAGTCAGGCCAAAAGAGGACAAATCACCTGGGCCAAGAACGGACGGCGGGGGGGGAGCCCACTGACTGTACCGCTTTCCTCCGGGACAACGCAGGACCCCCGATAAGCCCCTTCGGCTCTGGCTGTTCCCCCAGTTGCTCAGCTGCTGGCCTGACTCCCCCCTCGGCCCTGGGTGTTGTCCTGGGGGGGGGAGGTGGGAAAGCGGGGACTCTGTACAGGAAAGCATCCTGGGCAGAGAAGCTGCCCTATAAGGAGAAAACTGGGAGGCTTTGGCTAGGCATGCGGGAGGGGGGGGCGCTGGGGGGGATGATATTATAGCAGTACTGATCTGGAGAGATTTTTTCCTCCTCTCCTGGCATCATCCATTAGAAATGTTTTTGAACCCAGCGGAGAGCCGAGGCAGCTGGTGGGATGGGCTGCCAGAAGGGATCCGTTGGGAAGGGAAGGTGAGAAGGGGACTCAGGGCTCGCAAAGTCCACCCAGGCCCATCAGCATCTCCCAAAATTGGCCGCGTCGTCCTGAGGGGGTCTAGGACAGCTCGCCAAGGGACAATTCAAAGCTCTATGAATCATTCCACCCAGTCACTTTTATTCTTGGTGGCCGGGTTTTCCTCAAAATTGTTGTAACTCTTGTATTTCTGGATTGACTTACTTGTTTTATGATTGTTGGCCCTGGCTCTGTTGAAATTAATGTAACTTTTGCATTTGTTGCATTTTCCCGTGGCGAGTTGGCCCATTCTGTTGCTGAGAAATGCTTTAAGGGGGCCGAGTGGGAGGGTCCGCAAGAGACCCCTCCCAGCCCTCAATCCAAACGGCAGCCGAGATGGGCAGCCCGGAGGGGATTCTCACACCCCTCTCCTGGGGGGACCACACAGGACATTCGGTAGAGGTAGTCCTCAACTTATGACCACAATTAAACTGAAAATTTCTGTGGCTAAGCAAGATTTTGCCCCTTTATATGACCTTTCTTGCCACGGTTGTTAAGTGAATCGTGCTTCCCCATTGACTTTGCTTGTCAGAAGGTCGCAAAAGGGGATCACGTGACCCCAGGACACTGTGACCGTCATAAGTATGAGTCAGTTGCCAAGCATGTGACTTTTGATCACATGGGGATGCTGCTACAATGGTCACTTTTTTCAGTGCCGTTGTAACTTTGAACGGTCACTAAATGAACTGTCGTAAGTCGAGGACTACCTGTACTTCGCAAAGGCACTTCCATGAGAATTTGGTGTTCGATGACAAAAGATGCTCCAACTCGGGCAGGGGGGCCAGAGAGGGTGGGGCCCTGTGGCCCCATCTTGCAAAGAGCCCGGCCAGCCCTTCTTTGTGGGCTGACAGCCGCCCCCCTCACGGGACACCCAGCACCCTGGGAAGCCTCGGGAGGGCGGGGGGGGGGGGGGGGGGGTGGAGTGGCTTCCTCCTTGGCTCCTCGCAAGACTCGGCGGGGGCCATCCTGGAGTTTAACAGACAACACAGCCCCCTATTTTTAAAATACTTTATTTTTTTAAATATTAATACAGGACATTACAAAAGGAGAAATTCCAAAAAAACGCTATAAAACCACCCAGGGTCTCCCTGAAATGGAGGAACCCCAGCAAGGCATGGCCCTCTCCACCCTCCTCCGTCTCGGCCCGCCGGGTCAGCAGCCCACGTATTGGGAAAAGACACCTACACACACACCCACACCCCGGAGGGGGCCAAGAGAAAAAGGACGAGGGCCTTCAGGCACTGGAGCACCGCCGTGCCATCCCCTCCCCAAATCTCCATTCTGTACAGCCATACAGGAAGGGGCTGTGGGTGCCCCCTTGGCTCCCCCACCCACCCCAAAGGAGGGTCAGCCCGGTGGGCACCTTGGCAGGGACGGGCTGAGGGGACCCCCAAGGAAGCACCTCCAGTTCTCCGTCAAGAGAAAATTCAGAATAAAAAGGATGGGTGGAAAGCCCCCCCCCCCCAAAAAAAGAGTCTTGACCCAAGATTTTAACTCTGGAGGGGAGGGGGGATAAGATGATGAGATGCTCTCTGGCAAAGCCCCTCGGGCCCTTATCTCCCCCCCAGACCCAGCCTCCCTGCCGGTGCTGGTCCAAAACCCAACGGAACTGTCAAGGATTAAGAAACGTTTCTTGAAAATTCTCCCTCTGAAAAGTGACAAAAGGCGCCCAAGCAGATCCCCCCCTCGCCCACCTCCCAAGAAACACACAACACCCCCCCCCATCAACATCAGACGATACCAAGACCCCCTCCCAGCCTCCAGCAGTGCTCAGAGCAGCCCACCTTCCCTCTCCCTTTCCCCAGGGAGCCGTCCCGGATCACTCCCTTTCCCAGAATTCAGATGAAAAGCCAACACAGCCAAGAAGAGGTTAGTCCTCATGAAGGTTCTATTCCAATACAGAGTCCAAAGCACCCTTGAATGGCAGGTCCTTGTTGTGACCCCAAAGCTTGCTGGAGAAGGTTTGTTGGGCCAACATCACAGGGTCTGGGGGTGCAGAAACAGAAGGTGGGCGGAGGGGGCCTTCTCGGTGCCAAACACAGGAGGGAGGGTCCAGCTCCTGCCGGGTAGGACGAGGTTGGCTTGGCGACCCCCACCGGCTGCTCTAGGGAGGTGCAGTCCAGAAGGAGCAGGCAGGGGACGGAGACAGGAGGAGGTGGTTCTATTTACAGGGCTCTGGTGTCCTTGGCAAAATTTGGGGAGACCCTCCCCAGCTCCAGAAGAAAAGTCCCCTGGGAGAGGACCCCCGAGACTCACGCAAAGCAGGGACACCAGATCCAAAATCGGGGACCTCTCAAAGGAGCCAAGCTGCCAGAGGAGGGGGGGCAGGGCAGAGAGGGTCCCTTGCAGGAGGAGGAGGACGTGGCTTGCAGCAAGAGACAGGAGGGTCCCGGGGCGACGCCCAGGCCAGGTGCAACGTGGCACAGCATGAAGTATGGCTGCCGCTCGGAGAGCAAGCCGGCTGGCAGAGAGAGCGTGAGGTGGGCAGGCAAGGCCCGGCCGGGCAGCTCTAGGAGCAGGGCAGGTGTTGCTTGAGGATCTGGCGGGTCTGGGGGGCTATTCTGTCAGGGAAGCGGACTTTGAACTCCACAATCAAGTCTCCGCGCTGGGAGGGCACCTTGGGGAAAGGCAGCCCCTCCCCTCGCAGCCGCTTCACGGTGCCCGGCTTGATGATGTCGCTGCAGGGCAGGGGGATCACGCGCCCGTCCACCGTGGGGATGTTGACGGTGCAGCCGCACAGGGCCTGCAAGAGAGAGGAGGAGAGAAGCGGGGTGAGACGGCCGTCCCTCGAGGTCACAGATGTCACAACGTCAGGGGTGGGCAACGATGGCAACGATAGGACTGGTGGACCTCAACTCCCAGAATTCCTGACGGCAACTTCTGGGTGTTGAAGTCCTCAAGTTGCTCTCATTGCCCACCCCGGCACTATGCCATGCCAGCAGGAAGCAGACCAGCAGGGAACCCAGAGCAGGGCATCTTGCGGGCACCACCCTCAAGCCCTTCCAAGACCATATGAAGATCAGTCTCGATGGCCTCCTATAGCCCCAGGCCTTGGGGGAGGGGAACGTAGGCAGAACTAGAGGACCAGCCTTCTGCAGGCTCCACAGTCTGTCCGGGCAAGCGGTGGGCAGCCTGCAGCCTCCGAGGCTGGCAGCGCCGCAGCCCCCCCGAGGTCTTCTCCCTTCGCCTGCCTGGGCCCACTTCCAGAAGTGGAAACTTTGGAGTGCTGCTGCTCCTGCCAACTTCCACAAGGCCCAGGAGGGCCTAACAAGAACTGGGTTATTTTTTGCCCACAGCTGACCCCAACAGCTGCCAAAAAGCGAGCACTGCTGTGACCCAGCTTGGGAAGGGAGGAAGGGCAGTCCTGAGAGGTCAGGGTCTGGAGCCCAGCTCACCCCAAAGGCCCCCAGGAAGAGACTCACACCCAACAAACGTGGGAGACCCGCCTCAACCACCTCTTGAGGTCCTCGGCAAGATTAATCAGCTGAGCCAAAACAGACACCCCCCCACTGCCCCCATTTTGGCCTCCAAGGCTCCCCTGTGATGGAATGTGGTCTGGATTCCGAAGGGGGAGGAAGTGCACTCAGAGGAGCAAGAGACAACTCGGGTCAGATACGGTACTTTGTGTGAGAGAAAGAGGGTGAAGAAGGCTCCTCCTCAACAGTTCCCAGAATATATGCCTCACGGGAGGGTTAGCCTGCTTCCGTTTGGAAAGATTCCATCTATGGGTGAGGAACCATTAAAAAAATCTGTTTGGAAGACTCACAATGTGTCTTTTTCAGTTTTTGGATCCTGACGGGGATGAATAAATTTATGTGGGAGAAAGAGAAGGAAGGCAGCTCCTCCCTAAGAGTTCCCAGAGTGCACGTTTTATGGCGCAAAGAGTCTGTTTCAGTTGGCAAGATTCTGTCTGTAAGTGAGGAACAATCAGGGAAACTGTTTAGAGGTTCTCAATCTATCTTTCTTGGGTTTTGGGACCTGACCTCTCATTTCTGCACAGGGAAAGCGTCCTGAGGCTCAACCTGCTCCCAAGGAAGGCCTCGGTCTCCTCGCTGCCTCTACCACCACCTTCCCTTCTTCCTGCCCACCTCCCTTCAGCCGCACACGGCCATTCCGATCTCGGCCTCCTCAGGATTAGGTGGGGAATCTCTTCCCTCCCAGCTGGGAGTCCTGGTTCTTCTCCGGCCAGGTCTACCCACTCCTGAGGGACGTTCTCCCTTGTGGCCACCTGGCCAAATGCCTTTGTGCAGAGAGCTGGAATGGCTCAGAGGCGGCAGCTGCCCAGCCGGCCTCTCGGCCACCTCAGTCCCCCACTTCTCTCGGCAAGAGAAACATGTCGTGCAGCCAAGCGGCAAGAACAGGTAGCCCAGAACCTGCTCCGGAGGAGCCGAGGGCTCGTTAATCCTTCCCCAGATTTACTCATCCACGACTCCCACCTGTCGGCTTCCCTTCCCTGGTCGGAAGGAGATGGGGAACCCCTGAGCACGCGGGGAGTTTGTGGCAGTGGAGAGCAGTTCACGGCTGGGACCACCCAAGGGCAACAGCAGAGAGCTCCGAGAAGAAGCCAGAAGCCAAGGGAGGGTCCCCAGCTTGGGGGGAGGAGGGGGCTGCAGTATAGGTAGTCCTTGACTTACAACTGTTCATTCAGTGGCGGTTCAAAGTTATAACGGCACTGAAAAAAGCATCTTACGACCGTTGCAGTGTCCCCACGATCACATGATCAAAATTCAGATGCTGGGCAACTGACTCGTATTTATGACGGTCGCAATGATCCCATTTTGTGACCTCCTGATAAGCAAAGTCAATGGGGAAGCCAGATTCACTTAACAACTGGGGCAAGAAAAGTCGTAAAATGGGACAAAGCTCAGTTAGCAAATGTTTCACTTAGCAACATAAATGTGGGGCTCTACTGTGGTCATAAGTCGAGGACTACTGTCCTCCACCCTCTTGATTAATTTAAGGGGCTTCATGGACACCAGAGGCCCATCGTACGTACACCCGCTCCTAAAAACGCAAACGCCGCCTCCGTTCCCTAGAAGCAGAGCCTTGGGGGGGAGGGGGGGGCTGGTCCCCACTGAGCCACGGGTGCCCAGGTGGCAGGAACAGAAGCGTCTCTTGCACACAAGCTGAGAAATTCAGAGTTGGCAAGTCTTTTCAGGAGCAGCCACTGAACGCACAGCAAAGGGTGGGAAAGGGAACAGCCTGATGGTTAGGCCAGCTTGCACACTTGGCAACTGTTCCTCGGGGGGGGTTTTACTTTTTCTTTACACAAGGGCTACTTTGGGGGAAAGCAGGACCCCAGGAACCCCGTTGGCCCCTCTCCTTACACCCCGAAGCGTCTTTAAACAAAGGGAAAGAAGGCAAGGAGGACTAGACGAGAGACCCCTGGCTAAAGCCACAGGGGGAGGGGAGTTCGAGGAAGGCCGGCTTCTTCTGAAACACCGGGGACAGTCAGCAACCTCCTCCAATGTGGCCAGGATAGATCTTGGTTGAAGGTCTTGGTTGAAACTCTATCCGGCCACACTGGAGAAGGTTGCTGACTCGGGTCTCCCAGCTACTCTGAGAGGACCTCAGCAGGCTGGTCCCCAAGGCGCTTTCTCAAGAGGCAACTGGACTCTCTGGCTTTTCTCTGAAGACGTTTCGCTTCTCAGCCAAGAAGCTTCACAGGAAAGTCTTCAGAGAAAACCCAGAAAGTCCAGTTGCCTCTTTGGGACCAGCCTGACCTGAATCTCCATGCTGGCTTTTGTTCCCCGACCTCTGGCCTGGAGGGTCACTAGTCCCTCACACCTGTGTAGGAGACAAACTGCTGGGTCCCCCAACTCCTGTACCCTGCTCTTTCTCCTAGGTGATGTAGGAGATGCACGAAGAAACTGAGCCGAGGCCCAGGAAAGCCAACAGAGACACCACCAGTTGTCCCCAACATCAATCCTCAGTGAGTTCCATCAACTTCCTACCTGCCCGTCTGCCTAGCCGCCCTGTGTCCGAGAGACGCGTTCCCCACCCACCCCCGGCCTCGAACCAAGGACCCACCTCTTTAAGACTGATCATGGCCGTGTAGATGATGTTTGTCCCGTCGCGACGGAAGTGGCCGTGTGGCTTGTCCTTCAGGACGAAGACGATGTCGGCCGGGATGTTGTCGGGGGTGGCGTCCCCTTCCTTGGGGAAGGTGATCTTGGTGCCTTCCTTCCACCCTCGCTTGATGATGATGTTCAGGATCTTGTCCTCTGTCCGCATCGTTCGCCCGTCCGGGTTCAGCCGCCGGCGGGTGATCTTCATCCGCTTCGTAGCCCCGTGGTAGATTTCCTCCAGAGAAACCTTGAGCTCGTGGATCACGGGCGGATCCTGCACCTTCCGGCGCATGTGGATGGGCTCCGGGTGCCGCCGATGGACCCCGTTCAGGCCATTGAAACCGAAGCGGCTGAAAGCGCTGAACGGATCGTCACTGTCGTCGTCCACGTCCATGTCCTCGTGGTCGAAGCCGTTGAAGACCCTGGATCGGCTGCTGCTGAAGAAGATGTCGAAGGGGTTGGAGCCCCCAAAGAAGGAGGCGAATGTGGCGTGAGGGTCTCCATGGAAGGTGTAGTGGAAGGTGCTGCCAGAAGGGCCGGAGGGACCACCACCCGTTTTGAGTCCTGAAAGAGAACCAAAGGGAAGAACCATCAGGGGAGGCAACGTAGAGCGGAGAAGCAGCTCATTGGACCTGCAGCAAGAAGAGTCACGGCCTTTGCCCACCGACAGTCCTCGTGATCTGGGGGGCAGAAGCAGGGGCCCGACTCAAAGCCTGGCCCTGCTCCAGCCCATTTTGGGAGTGCAGCCCCAGAACCTGCTTTGGCCCTTGAGAACCAAGCTCCACAACAGGCCCCTCGGACACGAGCAGGAAAACGAGGACTGCACAAACTCTGGAGATGGCTGCACGTCTAACCAAAAGCTTGGAAGCTCTTCTAGTCCAGCTCAAGCAGAAGACCCAGAACCCTGTCAGGCAAATGAAGGAGGACTAGGGGTGAAATGATAGATATGTCCCAATAAAAGGGGCTGTCACAGAGAGGGGGAGGGGCTCCACCTCTTCTCCAAAGCCCTGGAAGGCAGGACAAGAAACAATGGAGGCAACTAATCAAGAGGCAACCTGGAATTAAGGAGGAATTTCCTGACACTTAGAACAATTAACCAGAGGAACGACTTGCCACAGGAAGTTGTGAGCACTCCAACACTGGAGGATTTTTAAGAAGAGACTGGACAGCCATTTGTCTCAGATGGAAGAGGGTCTCCTGCTTGAGCAAAGGAGTTGGACTAGAAGACCTCCAAGGTCCTTTCCATCTCTTATTCTGATTGTTTGCTTGTACATCATTTGGCTGATCTCTCCCGTTAGTTCTGTAACACAGGGGTCAAGGCTGAACATTGTGGAGCACTCCACCCCATGGCCATTTCGGACAGGGGAGGCTGATCGTGAGGGTCTAAGCCAGTCGGACTCTAAGGAAACCTTCTGCAAGGACCAAGCCCAGGTTAATTGAAGAGGAAGCTCCATCCACAGAAGGCCCCGTCCCCTGAAGCTAGGATGACAGGTCCTGCAGGACAATCTCTGCTCAATTCCCAAAGAGCGAGAGGAGCAAAGTCAGAGATCTCCTCCTTCTCAGTTCGCCTGGATGCAAGGCGGGAATCGTTCCCTCTGAAGTCCTTTCAATTAGTGGCAAAGACCTGGAGACCTTGTCTTTGGGCAGGTATCCAGAAGACAACCCTGGAGCATTGACGCAAAGGTTTTGTCCTTCCTGCATGGAGGGGGGGCTCTCGCCTCTGAAAGGCACCCCGACCCAAATCATCCATGGAGATGAGATAACCCCAAAAGCAGAGTTGAAGGAAAGCAGCGGCAGCAGAAAACCCAGCCCTGAGGGGGAATCAAAATCAGAATTGAGCTGGAAGGGACCTTGGAGGTCTTCTAGTCCATCCCTTTGCTCAAGCAGGAGACCCTATATCACGTTAGACAAGTGGCTGTCCGGTCTCTTCTTAAAAACCTCCAGTGATGGAGCACCCACAACTTCTGGTGGCGAGCAGTTCCACTGGTTAATTGTCCTCACTGTCAGTTTCTCCTCAATTCCTGGTTGCTTCTCTCCTGGATTAGTTTCCATCTGTTGTTTCTTGAAGGGCCCCTCTCTCTTCTTCCTCCCAGCCCAGCCCAGCCGCCTCTTTAAAAGGGGGGGCTTCCCCAGATTCTCAGGGCAAGCAGGGGGCAGAGGCCAGGAGGGAGACGGGGGGCTGGGGCAGCAGCTGCCCCACAGCTGCTGGCTTTCAATAACAGTGGAGCAGCAACAGCAGCCCCTGTCCGAGGAGAGAGCGCTCAGCTAAAATGGGGGAGGGGTAGAGGGAGGGGGGGCTGCCACTAATAATATAAGGCTCCCACTTTGTGGCCAAAATTTTTCCTGTCCCCCCCCCTCCCATGGGCATTCTCTGATTAACAGGCTAAATTGGGACGGGACTCCACATTCTCCATTCAGCTCTCACTTCTTGCTGACTTAATTCTTCCAAGGGAGAAACATGTGAATGGATTTCCTCCCCCCACCCCCCACCGCCCCCAATTCTTCGTGGACCTCCCAGGACCAGCGACAGGAGCAATCAGGCCTTGTCAGTCACTGCTCCGACATAATTAGAAGGCCCACTCAGAGATGAGAGCAAAGAGCTTTTATTTTTAGACCCTGATGGAAGCTGGAGCCCCCCACCAAACTTCTCCAAGGAATAGGCCAACTCTGCTTGCCCTCCCCAGGCCTTTGGCTCCCCCCCACCCACCCCAGGAGCCCTCCAACCCTAAGAGCTGCCTGCTCCCCAAAAGGCCAGGAACAGAAAAGGGAGACGAGGCACTGGAGGGAAGGGTCCTACAGCAGCCTCGGTGCCCCCTCTTGCTCCCGTCCCTGTTCTTTAAAACTTGCACCGTGGCTGCAAAACGCGCAAAGAGCAGGTATTTGCAACTTGACTCCAAGAGGGGTCTTTGACTATTTGCAAGGAAGGAAGTTTCCAGGGCAGGCAACTCTACCCCAAATTCTTTATCCCGGTTTTCCCCTTCAGCAAATGAAGAAGTCCAGAACTATTCTGGCCACCGAGTCCCCCATTTATTAATTTAATTTATGACTGTTTGCTGGGCTCTTAAGTTATTCCCAGCTCCCGGGTAACAACAACAAAGCGGCCTGCCAAAAGTTGCCACGCTCCCTCGCTGCCAAATGGCCCAGGATAGCTTATGAAAGGATTACTAAAATTGGGAAAGGCTCTTCAGGTCCAAACACAAACACACACACACACACACACACACACACACAGAGCAGCAGCAACATGGACTGAAAAGGAAGCAGAAGCCACCCTCCCTTAGGCCCATCCGGCAAAGACCCCAGGCAGAAAGAGCCAGGCTCCCCACGCCAATCCCCTCCAGGGACACCAGGCAGGAAGGGGTCTGCACCTCCCCCCCCCGCCCTCAAGAGCCCCTCCCCCCTCGCCTGACAGACAGTGAATTGGGGGGGGGCAGGTGGGGGCTGACTTGGGGCCTGGGCCAGGGAGAAGCTTTGGGGGACCAAAGAATCTTTGGTTCTGCAACCGGAGTCCCGCTTACCCTCTTCTCCGTACTGGTCGTAAACGGCCCGCTTCTTGGGGTCACTCAGCACGTCGTAGGCCTCGGCGATTTCCTTGAACTTGTCCTCCGCGTGAGGGTCCTTGTTCTTGTCCGGGTGGTACTTCAGGGCCATTTTGCGGTAGGCCTTCTTGATCTCATCCTCGTTGGCCCCCGACTGGATGCCCAGGGCCTTGTAGTAGTCCTTCCCCATGGCCGAGACGGGGCCAGCCGTAGACTCCTTGTTCCTGCACCAGGGAGGGAGAGACCCAGATCATCGGACAAGAGCCAGGAAGGGGCGGCACTGGCGGGGCTGGCATCTGAAGGGCACCACGTGAGCCCTGCCCGGACAGCCTGCCCCTGCCCACAAAGAGGCGGGCAGGAAAAGCAGACGGGACCCTCGGAGCCTCTGCCGGCCATCGCCACTTCCACCGCAGGGGAAGCCTCCGAGCCAAAGAGGCTCTTCTCCCCAGACGAGACGAGACGGCAGCAGATTGCCTTACAAGAACCCTTCCTCGAGTGAGCGAGCGCTCAGCCCGGGAGTTCACGCAGGGACACGTTTCCAGCATGTACCGGCAGAGACGGCAGAGGATGGAGCTGGTAGACGGAGACATCTTGCGATGGTGGCAGGCTATTTTTAAAGAATTCCCAAATGAGAGCCCGCCACCGCACGGAAGGACTGCCCGAGGGCACAGCGGCTGGGACTTGCAGCAGCTGGCATCCCAAGGCCAGGGTGGTGCTGCCCGACGAGGGCCAGCCAAGCTCTGACCATCTCCGGCCAGACCAGCCGAGGCTGCTTGGGGTCGAGGCTCCCTTGGCGGCGCCACAGAGACCCCCAACCCACCTCTGGAGGCAGTCAAGCCAAAGAGAGCTGCACCCCCCCCCCAGCTCCAGGGTGCCACGGAACCTCCCCATCCTCTCTCATCGGGGCCCCAAAGGCCGGAAAGGGGCAGCCAAAAAGGCTCCCGGTGTTGAGTTCCCCATTTTGCTGGATTTCAGAAATTTGGAGGGATAGGAAAACCAAGAACACCAATAGAGAAACACACAGAGAGAGACCTGCCTGCACATCTTCCGCTCTGTCACTGTGGGACCCCTTCCTCCCCCCCCATAAAAGGAGCTGCCCCCCTCTCGCCCTCCAGCTGAGGCCGGGGATGATGAGGGGCGCTGCCCTCCAGCCCTCCGGGAGAGTTGAGGACCCCGGGGGGAAAGAAGGCAGCCCCGCTCCCACCGAGCGCCCACAACGGCCCCCACAGGCTCCCCGGCCCAGCCCAGGAGGGCGGCTGCCCGGGGGAGGCGGCGGGTGACGCCAGCAGCGCTGCTGACACCGAAAGCAAGAATCCCCCAAGTTCAGCGATGAGCTCAGGAGCCGCAAATACCCGCCCTGGCAGGTGGGCAGCAGCCAAGGCCCCCGGGACACGCGCCCCCCCTCCCTCCCCTCCGTCAGAGCCTGTGCGTGTTGGGACCCTGGGCTGCTGGACGGACCCGGGGGAGGGGAGGGGAGGGGAGGGGCGAGGGTCCTGCTCCGGAATGGGCACCAGCAAGGGCGGAGGGGGGGCGGGGGGGAGACCTGGCTGGCATCGCTGGGCGCCCGGGGAACAGGCGACCCTCCCTCCGTCCCTCCCTCCGCCCCGAACCGCTCGGCCCACCGGCAGCCCCCGACCCAGCCCCGCAGCGCCTCTCCCGCCTGGCGGCTGCCTGGTATCCCCCGGAGCCCCCCGCCCCGCATGGGCATCGGCCCCGGGACAGCGCCGCCCGGACCCCTCGCCTGCGCCGGTGCCGGCCGGGGAAGCTCAGCCCCTCGGGGGTCCCGCGAGGTCATCGGTGCGGGCCGGGGGGCTGCGGGGCAGCGGGGCAGCGGGGCTGCGAGGCGGGTGCCGGCGCCCTACCTCTCCAGGCGGCTCCAGAAGAGCAGGACGGCGGGCATGGCGGAGCGGCGGCGAGCGCGGCAGGCGAGGAATGCCGAGAAGCGCGTCCGCCGCCCCCGCCGCAGCGCCACAGCCGCCCCGCCCGTCCGCCCCTCCGCCCCCCCCCTCCCGACGGCACCTGCCGAGGCGGAGGCGGCGCTGGACCGGCCCAGCCCAACCCGCCCTCCCCCCCTCCCTCCCGCCGCCGCCGCCACTCACCGCCCGCGCCTGGCCTTCCTCCGCCGCCGCCACCCGCTCGGCCGAGCCGGGGCAACTAGCGGACCGGGAGCCCGCCCTCGCCTAGCAACGGCGCGCCCCGCACCGCCCCCAGCGCGCTATTGGCTTCGGCCGCCGCCCGTCTCGACCCGGGGTCCATTCCCTTTGGAGAAGAGGGGAAGGCCGAGCGGGCCACGCCCCCCCCGCCCGCCTCCGGAGAAGGGCCGCGCTCCTCGCGCCCCATTGGCCTCGCCGCCGCCGGTCCCGCCCATTCTCCGCTGGCATTGGTTTCTAGGAGACGGGGGCGAGCCGCGCGGCCCTTCCCTCTCCGCCCCCGGCCCCGCGTGCGCCGCTCCCATTGGCTGCGGGCGCTCCGCTTTGACTTCCGAAGGAAAGCCCGCGGGAGGCTTCTGGAAGCCCCGTGACGTCACAAAGGCGGCCGTGGGGGCGCCTCCTCCTCGGTGGGCGGAGCTTCGGGCCACGTGGAAGGGACGCGCCCCGCCCCGCCGGCTTCGCAAGAGGCGCCGATCCTGGCTTAGTTTGACCCGCATCGCAGCTTTTCACAAGCCGAGATGGACCGAGTTCTCCGGCCAGCGGAATCGCAGCGATTCCTTCTAAGCAACCCAGGCCCCCTCCCTCCCTCCCGTCGGGCTCCCCCGGAGGGCCTCGGAGGCTCCGGAGCGCTTGGTGGCCGCTTGAGGGGCAGCTGGCCGGCAGGCATCCCCATGAGCCCCCGCTGCTCCCTCGTAGCCCCTTCAAGACCCCCCCCCGTTTCCTGGGGGGGCTTTGGGAGGGCTGTGAAGGGAATGGCTGGTGGGCTGTTCACAGGGGTCGCCTTGTTTTCAACTGGGGGAGGGGGCGCCTGGGTAAGTCGCAGGAGTTCGTAGGCCACGCCCACTTCGGACGGCTGGACATCGGGAACGCGCAGACGCTAAACACGCGAGAAGCATTTACACGAGTGGGTCCAGTCCTCGACTTACGACCACAGTGGAGCCCCAAACACAAGTGAGCTTTCCTCCCTTTTACGACCTTTCTGGCCTCAGTTGTTCAGTGAATCGACTTTGCTTGGTGGAAGCCAGCTGGGAAGGCCACCAATGGGGATCACGCGACCGTCATACGGGCCTCTGAGCCTCTGGATTTTGACTTTGATCGCATGGCCGCAGGGATGCGCCAACGGCCGTGTGAGGAACAGTCCTCAGTCACTGTTTTCAGTGGGATTGTAATTTCAAATGGTCCCTAAACAGGTTGGTTGTAAGTAGAGGACTACCCTCTTATTAATATGCTGCCCAACTCCCCGATGTTCTTGGATGCCGTTAGATGGCAGCTCTTCTACATGGGGAAAATGGAAGGTAGTCCTTGACTTACGACTGTTAAGTTAGCTTTGTAATTCAGTCTGTTGTGTGAACACAGCCAAAGCAATGCTTACACTGATTCCACTTTCTGTGCATTTGGGATGAGGCTGGTGTGTTATAATAAAACTCTTTTTGGTGTGTCTTGAGTTTAAATAAATGTTTGACATCAGCAGAAGAAAATGTCCCCCCCCCAAAAAAAAAGAGTGTGATGGCACTGATCCCTCTGACATTAGGAGGGTCCCCTCCCTTTATCCCTGGGCCAGCCGTGATCCGCCTCTCCTGCCCGTAGGGACCCCGGGTGAAGCCACCCCCCCTCCCTTTCCAGGTGGTTTCTTGGCAGGATCTTACAGGGAGAGCAGAGCGAATGCAGAGAGGCGGCCTCTTGGCTCTCCATCGGAGGCTTCTGTCCTGCTGCTGGATGGCTGCCCTGCTCACTCGGCCCAAACTCCCTATCTGTGTCAAGTCCTCCCAAATCAACAGGAAGTGGGGAAGAGATAATTGCAGCTCCCGTCTGCTCCAGCTGAGCATGTGATTCAGAGGACAGGCTGGATCTGACGGCTCTCACCACCCATTCCCGCCTCACAAAGTGCCAATTTGGTGCCCGAAGCCACTGCTTCACAGAGGAACTATTTCTGGAGGGAATGGACACCTCCCCCACCCCAAGATCTTAAACCCCACATGAAGTGGAGCGTGGGGGGGGGTTGTCCAATTTTGGCAACTTTAACCTTGTGGACTTCAACTCCCAGAATTCTGACTTGAAGTCCAGACAAATTGCCAAGTTGAGAAACGCAGCTCTGGATGTTGAAACGCATGGCTAGAAATTGTATTGTTTTGCTTCTTATCCAAGAAGCCTCTTCGGTTCTAACTGGCTGGTGGGGAATGGAAAGATTTAAAAAACTTTCATTTCTCACCAGTCAGTTAGAACTGACTTCCGTTTTTAAAGGGAAAAGCCAGGAAAGTCCAGTTGCCTCTTGGAAAAAGCATCTTTGGGACATTCCGTGGCCTGGATGATGGGCAATCTCTCTAGAAGACGAGGAATGGGGGGCCAGAATCTACCTGGTCCAATACAGGCGGTCCTCGACTTATGACCATCATTGAGCTCAAAATATCTGTTGTTCACTGGGACATTTGCTAAGTGAGTTTTGCCCCATTTTACGACCTTTCTTGCCACAGTTGTTCAGTGAATCTGGCTTCCCCACATTGATTTGGCTTGTCAGAAGGATTCCAAAAGAGAAATTCATTGCATTAGGAAAATAGAGATTTAAAGTACGTAACAACCATCGTGCAATGCGGAAGAGAAGAAACCAGTACTACAAGCAGGAATGGGGGGGGGGGCGGGGGGAAGGGATGGTCATGATTTTTGAGAGAATGCTGAAAAAAGTAAGGCTGCAGGTGTTGATGTGTAATGCAAAAATCTTAATATATGGATGTGGTTTGCCCAAAGAGCAGTTGTGCAACTTGTTTAACACGGGTGAAGCCACATCTGGGCACGACACCTGGAAGAACGCCAGTATCGCTCCCCTAATCGGAGGGAAAGGCCACAAGAACCCAGGATGAGTTTGCTGAAACAGGGCTGAGGGGCTGTTTGTCAGGCCTGAGGATGGCTCAGAATTGGGCCATCCGTACAACGCCCAGCAAGGCAGGAGAGTCTCAGTGGGCTGGGAAATTGAGCCAAGAGGAGAAAGGATGTTTCCTAAGAAAAAAGGTGGCATTTGGGGATGAAAAGGAAGGCGCATGTACAAGATGGGATGGATCTGAAAATTAAAGTATCAAAAAGCGAAGAATAATATTTACTAAACGGGTCAGTAGGCTGCCCAGTTTTCCATCTACAGGAGAAACAGAATGGAATGGGGTTTATTTGTAGGAAATAGATTATTTGCCTACTTTGGTATTAAAAACAAGATAATGGCGGCCCATTTCACCTTATGGTTTTTACATTGTTCTTCCATATGAGGGCTCAGAGGAAGCATGGAGGGGAAGGCCGCCATGGCTGGCTGGAGGCGATGCAGCTCGAGAAAGGCCAAGGGTTGAGGCACTCGGGAGCGAAAGGGAGCGCCCAAACCTCTCTGTGGACCTTGAGGGAACCAACAGGTTTTGCAAAGGCCCAGGGAAGGATTTCCAGGGCTAAATTGGTGTAAATTAGCTTTAGTTATGTTTCTCATGATTGTATCTTAATTAAAATGTAATTAAGGTAAGGGATATAATTAATATAAGTGATGGGGCTATTGTGCATTTTCAAAAGCATTCCCTTCTGGCAAATTAAAAATTTGCAGTGTGATGGCAAGTTTTGGAAGACGCCTGGGCACTGGCCACAGTAGGGCCTCCGCCTGCAACCAAACCCTGGGGCAGGAGAAGGCTGTACCCCCCCCCAACCCCAGACATAGCAGGGCCCTGGCAGAAAGTCTTCTCAGGGTGCCAAGAACCGCCTGGCAGGGCAGGGCAGGCTCACAGGGCAGCAAAGTTCTGACCAGGCATTTCCCATGTCTGAGCAGATGTGGGTCCAGATGACCTCTGGGAAGCCCCTCCCTTTCACACACAACAGCCTCCTCGACTTACCACAGTCCATCTGAAAAAAAGGACTTATGACCGTTGCAGCATCTCCCTGGTCACCTGATCAGAATTCAGACACCTGGCAAATGGGCTCAATATTTATGTGAGTGTCCTGGGATCACGGGACCCCCTTTTGCAACCTTCTGACAAGTAAAGTAAATGGGGAAGCCGGATTCACTTAACAACCAGGCTACTAACTGAACAACTGCAGTGATTCACTTAACAACGGTGCCAAGAAAAATTGTAAAATGGGGCAAAACTCACTTAACGACTGTCTCGCTTAACAACAGAAACCTTGGGCTCAATTGTGAGAGTAAGTTGAGGGCTACCCATACGGTGGAACGTCACATGGCCCTCTGGATTCCCTGCCCCTGCAACCATGGGAGTTGTAGTCCATCCCGGACGGAGGGCGGGGGCTCCCTTGGAGAAGGAGAGCCAGCTCTCAGCCCAGATGCTTCCAGGCAGCCGCTCCCCATTCGCTCATCTCTTTGGCAGCCACCACAACGTGTGACTGAGAAGGAAGAGATTTGTGTGTTGTGTCTGGAGAGATGCTCGGAGTTCCAGGGATGTTTCTGCTCTGCCTGAGCGGGGAAGATGTCTTGGAGAATTCCTACTTGGGAGCAAATCCAGCAGGAAGAGACTTGGGCCCTCTTCTCGCAGAGGGAAGAACCGATGGAGACAGAACCTCTAAGCAGCCCCCGTCCCCGGCACCTGAACCAAGAGCAGCCCTCCCACCACCACCCCCTCCTCAAATCTTATTAGGTAAATCTGCAGGGTGGGAATCCAGAAGTTCCTTTCTAGCTCAAAGGAAACGTTTGTGAAACGTTCATCCACAAAGCAGATGAAGAGTACAGAACGGTTGCAGGAACTGGGCATGTCTGGTCTAGTGGAAAGAAGGACTAGGAGCGACATGATAGCATCTTCCAATATTTGAGTGGCTGCTACAAAGAAGAGGCCGTCAACTTATCTTCCAAAGCACCTGAAGGCAGGAGAAGAAGGAACAGATGGAAACTAATCAAGGAGAGAAGCAACCTGGAATTAAGGAGGAATTTCCTGACAGCTAGGACAATTAATCAGTGGAACTGCTTGCCTCCAGAAGTTGTGGATGCTCCAACACTGGAGGTTTTAAAGAAGAGACTGGACAGCCATTTGTCCAGAATGGTATAGGGTCTCCTGCTTGAGCAGGGGATTGACTAGAAGACCTCCAAGGTCCCTTCCAACTCTGTGATTCTGTTCCAATTACAGATCACCAGAGGATCTCCAATGGAAACAGAACCATAGGAATCGAACTATTACCTACAGCAGTCAATCACCAAATTTACACCCAGAAAATAAGTATAAAGTATAGATAAAGATCTTAATTAGTACAGAGGCACAAAAATCCAACTGTGATATCAGGTTCCTTGTTAAATATTTCTCTATGTCTGAACAGGGTTTCCTGGCAACTTTAAAACATGGGGAGCTCAATTCCCAGAATTCCCTAGCCAGGATGGTCTATTACAGGAAGTCCTCAACTTATGCCCACGATGGGGACCAGGGTTTCTGTCAGTAAGTAATGCGGTTGTTATTGTTTTTGCCCTGGTTATGCAAATCCAGCTTCCCCCAGTGCTTGTCGGAAGCCAGCTGGGAAGGTCACAGATGACAATCAGATGACCGTGGAATGCTGCAACCATCATTAATGCATGCCGGCTGCAGAGAGAGAGAGAGAGAGAGAGAGAGGAAGAGGAGGGAGACTATCAGACCCCATCATCTCCTACAGGATGCCTCTCTTGGATGGAAAGGGAAGCGAGTGGAGAAGCTGCCAACTCTCTCTTGAAGAGGACAACCAAGGTGACCCCCCCCCATCCCTCCCCCATCCCAGTGGCCCCCCTGCATGCCGAAAGCAACGGGAGCCATCTTGGCCCGGGAGGCTTCTCTGCCTGGCACTGCGAGGGCTGCCATCCAAATGACCCTCCCCCTCCCTGTTCTTTGCTGTATCTGTTCCCTTCAGCAGCACAAAAGCCCTCCAGAAGCCTGGCAACCAGGCAGGTTTCTCTGAAAAGCCAGCCCCCCCCGTTTGCCCTCCCACTCACTGAAAGACTCCCCCACGGAGTGTCCTTGGGCCCCCTCCGCCCCACACCCACCCCTTTCCCTGGGGAAGCCTTTCAAGGCAGGCATTCGCCTGGCCGAAAGTGTGAGCACTAAAGGCTTCTGTGGCCCTGCCTCTGCCCCACCCCACCCACAGGAACAGCCCCCTCTCCCTCACCCAGATCTGGAGGGCCCCCTCCCTCCCTCCCTCCCTCCCTCCCTCCCAGCATCCAGGAAGGGGCTGAAGCAGAGAGGCTCTGAAACCCTTTCCAGGCCTTCTGGGCCGAGGATAGCATATTTAGGGCTGTATCCTCACTTCAGGGGTTTTCACCTTGTGCGCCACCAGGAGTCTGTTGGGAACAAAGCGGGATAAATAATTAAATTCAAAAGGAAGGAGGCAAGGAGCGGAAGGAGTCACATTGCAAGACAGGGACCCAGGCTGAGCTCCAGGGACCAAAAGAGACCATTTCGTGGGAAAAAACAGGGATGCTAATACTAATCACCACGATAAGTAGATAGAAAGACTAGGGGAGACATGATAGCATCCTCCAGCATCTGAGGGGCTGCCAGAAAGAAGAGGGAGTCAAGCTATTCTCCAAGGCCCCTGAAGGCAGGACAAGAAACTCATCAACCTGGAATTAAGGAGAAAATGTCCTGGCAGTGAGAACAATCAACCAGTGGAACAGCTTGCCTCCAGAAGTTGTGGATGCTCCATCACTGGGGGTGGGGGTGGGCGGTGTTAAGAAGAGATTGGACAGCCATTTGTCTAGAATCGTAGGGTTTCCTGCTCAAGCAAACACCTCCAAGGTCCCGTCAAACTGTTATTCTGCTAGTTCAAAATACCAGGGGACATCCCATGGGCCAAAATCCACAGAAGGAAGCGAGTGCAGGAGGGCTGGGAACATAAAAACAAGAATATATAGGAATTGCGATGACAGACCACCCCAGTGAGGAACCAAATGGGGGAGGGGCACTTAGGAAGCCCCTGCAGAACCTTGGACTGGTCAAAAGGAAGAAGCAGAGGGAAGTAAGACGGAGAAACTCTCACGGAGACCTTCCAGATGAGTAGCCGATGGCTGCACAAGGGAAGTTAGGCCGAGACCTGCAAGAGAAACCAGAACCGGCCAAGGGGTCTTTGGGGCTGGAGAAGGAAGGGGGGGGTCCTGCTTGGCGATGAGGGCAAGATGGCAGAGGTGGCAAGGGAACCTGGCACCTTCTTGCCAAAGGAAACCGTTCAAACAGCTGCCAGCAGAGCAGCCAAGATAAGAGGCGATGGGGAGTGGGCACAGGTGTGTGCTTTGGAAAGCCCCTCCTGTATGTTTCCTCTGGGGAGAAATCCAGGAGGACGGGCAAAGTGCCAGAGGAGTGGAGCAGGGCCAGCACGGATCCTGTCAACGGGGAAGAGAGAGCCAGGGTAACCTCAGGCCGACCAGCTTGACATCAACGCTGGCCAAGACTCTGCAGGAGACTAATCAGCGGTTGTGCACATTTTGAAAAGAAAGACCGGCTGGCAGGAATTCCTAGGAATAGATCGACCAGGCCGGCCCGATCTTCCCTTTCTGACAAAGTGACCGGTTTAATTGACCGGGAGAGCGAGTGAACAAAGCCAGCCTCGTCTTTAGTGAAGCACCTGGCCGCGTCTCTTAGAAGATTCCCACAGAAGCCAGGCCGGGCTGCCCTGCCGGCAGACGGAGACGGAGCTGGTGAACGATCGGACCCGTGACTGCCCATCCGTGGCTCTGCATGCAGATGGAAGGAAGCCTGGCGCGGCTGTGCCCGAGGCCCTGTGCCACGCAGCGTCTTTGTGTGCAAATGGACCCCAAGAGAAAACGCTGCCATCCGATTTTCAGGTGACAGATCTGCAGATCTCCCAGAGACTGAGCACAGCAAACTCTAGAAGGGTAATAATATCAAAATTCAGGAGGAAGCTGGCAGGCGGGATCACTGGGCAGAAACAGGCAAGATGAACAGAATGGAATGGAATGGGGGGAGGGGGACGGGAGGCGAGGGGAGAGAAGAAGAGGAAAAGAGGAGGAAAAAGAGGAGAGGAGAGAAGGCAAAAGGCATCTGCTGCCTGGGGAATTCTGGGAGTCCAAGTCCATAAGTCGTACAGTTGCCAAGTTTGGAGAGCCCTGCCTTGTGCCAAAGACCATGCCAAGCACGGGGCCCGAGGAGGCCGAGGGCTCCGACGCCAGGCAGGCGGAAAGTCCTTGGCCACCTCTGCGGAGGGCAAAGAGCCCAACTGGCTGGAGGGAGGGAGAGGCAGGCGAGGGACTCCTGGGGCGGGGTCCGGCCGGGGCTTCCCAAACTCCAGAGAAAGGAGCCCTGGGGCCGGCCGGGGGAGAGCCGTCCCGAGAGGCCGGCGGAGCAGCGGATCCCCCGCGCGGAGCCAGGCGGGGGGCGGCGGCTGCCGGAAGCCGTTTCGCGCGTGGCGGGATTGAGTGGTGGGGCGTCGTGACGGGGGGCGCCGCCCGGCGTTGTGTAACTTCCAGCGCCCCCGGAGCTGCTGCTGCTGCTGCTGAGCGGGGCGGGGGGGGGAGCCCAGAGCCGCGCTCCCTGGGGAAGGGCAGGACGCGGCTCCCCGCAAACGGGGCCTGGTTGTCAAGCGCCGTTGGTTACTAAGGTTACGATATCTAGGGCGGCAGATCGCCCCGCCAGCCAGCCCCCCACCCCCCGGCGAACGTCCGGTCCTTGCAGCCGCCGGGGGGCTTCGTCCTTCCCGGCCCTGAACCAGGACGGGCTCTCAGGCCCCGAGTCCCAGCTGGCCTTTCCCCCGCAATGGCTTTAGCGCTGGTGGGAAGGGGCGCTCCAGGGAGGCTCCCCAGGGGGAGGGCCAAGGCGAGCTTCCCCCCCCCGGACTGGGAGAGGGTCGGGCCCCTTCAGCCCTTCCGAGGAGGCTGCTTCTGTCGCTCAACGGCTTCTGCTGGATCCCATCCCTCCCCCCCCTCCGAACCCCCGGATGAGGCAGCAGGGTGGGAAAGTGGGGCTGAAGCAGGAGCAGGTGTTGCAAGGGGAGAGGAGGCGCACCTGGGCAGATGGTCCCCCCCCTTCAGCCCCCGGGCTCTTTGCAGGGGCCCCACAGCCTGGCTGGGTTTGGCAGGCACCGATTCCGGCTGGTTCTCCTACCTGAGCAGCAGCTGCCAGGTGAGTGGGAGGTGCTGTGATGCCACTCAGCATCTGCCCCACGCGGCAGCCACGTCTGACTTCGCACCTTAGTCCCACGTTTGTTTGATACAAGGGGCCGCCAGCCCCCACAAGAGATCCCCATCCAGCTGGCCTGGCCCTGCGGGTACGGGCAGCGGTTTTGCCCCCCATCCAAGCCCTTTGGAGGTGCCCAACCGAAAAGAAGCCCTTGAGATGCCTCCTTCTGGGACGCCCAGGACCCCTTTCAAGGCAGGGGTCTTTTCTACAGTCTCACCCAGGACGTCTCCTGCCCCAACCTGGACAGGACAGGTCCTGGAAGACCTAGTTATGGGCCCGCTGGACATCAAGCAGAGTCCGTTTGGTCTAGTGGTGAAGGCACCAGGCTAGAAAATAGCAGACCCCAAGTTCAACTCCTACCTCAGGCATAAAAGCCAGCTGGGTGTCTTTGGGCCAATCCCCCCACCACACCTCAACCCAACCCACAGGATTGTTGCTGCAGGGGAAGTAGGAGGAGGGAGGTGTGTTGGATCTGTCTCTGGAGATTCTCCATCATCCACGTCACGTGGTCATCCCAAAGGTTGGCTTTCTGGGTTTCTCTTTGAAGATGTTTCACTTCTCATCCAAGAAGCTTATTCAGCTCTGAAGTCCATTGGATATGTTCATTGCCTTGAATCATTTGTAAAAATAATAAAAGGCAGGACACAAATAATTAAATTGGGGAAGGAAACAGAAGCAGGACCAACTGTGGGCCTAAGTGTAAATCTGAGGGCACCGTCAGAAGGAAAGGAAGGGTCTGAGCTGCCAGTGGGAGAAGCTGCTTGGCCTTTAGATGCCTCCTGCACGGGGCCCTTGCCACAAGAAAGCTTTGATGTTAGTGACAGCAAATACATGACAGGCGGAGGGCTTCAGAGAAGTCCCACATCAGGTGATGTAATATGGCTGATGACCCCTGAAATCTCCGTTTTGATACTGTAACGGTGTGCATTTTGTAGGCCAAAAGATGTCCAGAAGAGCTATCCGCCCTATGCCAAGCAGTGGAGAAAACTTCACCAGTAAGCAAGAGGGTTGGATCAAGTGATTTCAGCAATCACCAGATTTGATTTGGTGATCACCAAATTTCAAATCATCAGATATGATTTTCTAACAAAGTTAGAAAATTGCTAGAAGCGTATATAAATGGTTGGTATATAAACCCTGATGGGGGAACTGAAAACCTGTGACTTCAACACACAGAATTTCCCTGCCAGCCAAGATCGGAGAGCCCTGTGTTAGACAAAGGATTCAACATCTGGATGGTCAATCCGTCTTCCAGGCCTGGAGAAGCACTTAAGACAGCCTGGAAGAGGCATTTTACCACTTTGGGAACTTGGGCGGAGTCATCTATGGGATTTATTTTATTTATTTAAGAAAATGTATATGGTCGCCCAACTCACTCTCAGTGACTTAAGCTAAAAACTGAATACAAAACAATAAACGCAACAACCCCCACCCTGTGGGTGCCCATGTAAATATATTAAACAATAAATAATGGTTAATATAACAAGCCCAAGTTTACAAAGCAAATAAAGTGATGGTTGAATGCAGAGTCTGGATTCTCACAACACACCAAGACAACGGCTGACCCACAAACTCCTGCAGCCCATCTGAGCCCGTCCCACATGGGGTGTGAACCTTGGAATTTCTCTCTAAGCTTCCGGCTTCGTGTTTGGGGGCCTTTCAGCCCATTCCACGGCTGTGTGAACTCAGTCCCTCTGCCAACGCCGATGGCTTTCAATTGTCTTGCCAAGCTCCAAAGTTGGGCCTCTTTTCCTCCTTCCTCTCCCATAAATAGGGTGCCCAAGTGGGGCTTGGGAGGAGCAGAAAGCTAGGCGTCTGGCGTGGCAAAGGGGGCTTGGGGGGAAGAGGGGGGCTCTCATTTCTGATCAACTTCGGGATCAGAGAAAAGGCAAATGGGAGGAGAGACCTTCAGGTTCGGGGTCTACAGGAAGAAGGGTCTGCGTTGCCACTCAACGAATGCTTCAGCAACCAGCCGGGGAGGGGAGGCAGCCAGCTCAGCTCCCCTCCTGCCCTGCCCCAAGCCAGACCCCCCTCCCGGGAGGGAAGGAAGCGACTTCGGGGGGGGCGGGGGCGGGCGCTGGCTTTGGTCTCCAGCCTGCGTCTCCCCCCACCCCAATCTTGGTTCCCAGCCACGCACGGCTTTCGTCAGCCGTGGGCAGAGCCGCGCGGGGGAAGGACCTCGCCGGGGTGCCTGCGTCGTAGAGGGGAGGCGTCTGGCGGGCTCGCGGCCGCGGGTGGGTGGGTGGCGGAAGCCGAGGGGGAGCCAAGGCTGCGCTGCTGCGGGGGACGCGGCTCCTCCAGGAAGGCAGCTCCCCGCCTGTCTGGGTGCCAGGTGGCCGAGCAGCTGGCTGCGAGTCGGCGTGACGTCCCGGAAGGCTTTCATCACTCCGTGGTGCCACTAGGATGGTCCCTCCCTCCCCAAAAAGAGAATGGGTTACGCGCTAGACAGAGGCGGTCTGCCCATGCTCAGAGGTCCTTTTGCCTGGAGGGATCCCTGGCAGGTATCCTTGGGAGGGGGGCCGAGTGAAGGAAGCACCAGAGCCAACGCAGAGCAGTGGGGAAGGAGCGTCTTTCCTGCACTGGGTGGGGGGTGGGGGGAAACAAGCGCAGCTGGGGCTGCTCACTTTTGCCAGTGAGGAAATGGAAGGGGGGGAGGACACAGGAGAGCCCCACAGATGGGGGCCCGGGGTGGTGGTGGTGTCTCTGCAGGGAGAAGTAAAGCAGGGCCCGCTGTGACTCAGACTCTCCTGGGCTGACCTGGTTTGAGGCTGTGGGAGGTGCAAAGGAGGTGGCAAGGGAAAGCAAGGGCGGGGGAGGGTGCCAATGAAGCTGCTGGGGGTGCTGGAAGGAAAGGAGGAGGGAGTCAGAAAGGGCTCTGAGGATTGGGGGAGCAATAGAAGCCCAGTGACCCAGACTGGAAGAGCGGGGGGGAGGGGGGCAGGAGTCTGTGCCAGTCCAGAATGGCACCAATCCCCTCCTTGCAGATCCCAGGAAAGGGGATTCTCCTGGGCGAGGGGCTCCCTTGGCATGCTACAATTGGAGCAAGAAAGGCTTCCTGTGGGCACCTGGCATCCCTGGCCTGCCAGCCAGGGATTCGCTCTCCAGTCAGGGCCCCTCTGAGACCAGCTGTATCTGGGGTCACTGAGGGGTTCCCTTGCTGTGAGGATCCATCAGGCAGAAGAGGCAACCAGCCCCCCCCCCCCCCGAAAGAGTCTCAGCAGGAGACACTCTTATTGCTGGTCAGCTAGCTTCCAAGCAGCATTCCCCTGGGAAGGCTTGGGGGATTCTGGGGGACATCAGGCCTGTTCCGCTTTCTGCACTGCAAGGATTCTAAACTTGACCCCCTCTTAACCCCTCCCTCCTGGAGAGGTTAAATTGGAGATGCCATCACAAAAAGGGAGGGAGGAGAGATGGACAGAGGGATACAGTGATAGGAAGGAAGGAAGGAGGGAGGAACAAAAGGAAACAGAGAGGGAGAAGGAATGACAGATTAACAGAGTTGGAAGGGGCCCTGTAGGTCATCTAGTCCAACCCACCTCCCCAAGCAGGAGACCTTATACCATTTAGTCTTCCGGGTGCGCTTCAAGGTGTTGGTGACCACCTTTAAAGCGCTCCATGGCTTAGGGCCGGGGTACTTACGAGACCGCCTTCTGCCACCAATAGCCTCCCACCGGCCAGTACGCTCGCACAGAGTGGGCCTCCTCAGGGTGCCGTCCGCCAGACAATGTCGGCTGGCGACCCCCAGGGGGAGAGCCTTCTCTGTGACGGCGCCCACCCTCTGGAATAACCTTCCCCCGGAGTTACGTATAATAACAGACCTCCGGATTTTTCGTCGGGCCCTGAAAACTTATTTATTTCAACTAGCTGGGCTGGCTTGAGCTAAATTTTAAATTGGTTTTAAATTGGGTTGTTTTAATTTACGGCCAGAATATCTAATTATTTTAATACTGTTTTTTAAATTTTGTATGCTTTGTTTTTACTTAGGCTGTGCACCGCCCTGAGTCCTATTTGGAGAAGGGCGGTATAGAAATTTAAACAAATAAATAAATAAATAAATAAATAAATTTCTGACAAGTGGCCGTCCAGTCTCTTCTTGAAAGTTTCCAGGGATGAAGCTCCAACAACTTCCGAAGGCAACTTCTGTTCCATGGGTGGATTGGGGGGGGAGGGAGGGAGGAATCCCCACTTTGCCACTAGTGCTCTAAGCTCCCCCCCACCCCATTAACACCTCCCTGGAGTCTAGCTGGAGATTCCATTACCAAGGAGCACAAAAAAAAGGGGGGGGGAATCATACACAGCAGGGTTTCTCCATGATCCCCCAGATGAAAGTGATTTCCCCCATCCCCCAAATTGAACGTGTTTTCCCTGAGACTGGGGCTGGGCAAGAAATAAATACATCACATCTTAAAAACTAAATGTATCGATGAAATAAAATAAAAGCACAACTGTGAAGCTTTATATAAAACGGGGACACCAGGAATGGGCTTCCTCCGCAGACGCTCCAAAAATGAGCCACACAGGAGATTCTGGAGACACATCACTGCGGGCAGTCCTCGAGTTATGACTGCAATTGAGCTCAAAACGTCTGTTTCTAAGTGAGACATTTGTTGTGATTCTTACCCCATTTTATCACCTTTCTTGCCACAGTTGTTAAGCGAATCTGCCTTCCCCCTGGACTTTGCTTGTCAGAAGTTGACAAGGGGATCATGTGACCCCGAGACACAGCAACGGTCATGTGAGCGCCTGAATTTTGATCATGTGACCATGAGGATGCTGCAACGATCATAAGTGTGAAGAATGGTAATGAGTCATTTTTTTCAGTACCGTTGTAACTCGGCTTCAGCAGTCAGTGTGACTGGAGCACCTTATCTGATAATGGCTCATCCTAGGATCAAGCAATGTCAGCAGCTTGAATAGATTCCAATTTTGGACATTTCAGCCGCCTTCAAAACCCTGGTTGTGACTCTCCTGCACCCTTTGAAAAGCTCCCCAGATCCTCGCTCTGAGTTCCCCTTGAGGCCTGCCTGGAAGCCCCCTCGCTGCACTGAACTTTGGGGTCCCACAGTCACCACCCGACCCCAACTCCAAATCCACAACCTGGAGGAAGATGTTTTGCATTAACAAGAGGTGAAGACAACCCTAGAAAAAAATGGAGCCTCACCTGAGATCTTCAAAAACCAGCCAGGCTGGGTACTGAGGTTGCAGTGGATAGGGAGCCAGCAGAAGGCACCCCTGGGTTGGCCGTGAGGCAGGTGTGATTCCCACCCCCACCCCCCATGAGAGGGCCAGCCTGGGGTGCTGGATTATGGCTTCAAACCATCTTCCAGCTGGTGCAGTGACAGAGCTGCTTGTGCCCAGGGTGATCTGGAGAGGGCTCTGTTGTTGTTGTTGTTTTTTGGGGGGGTGATGTTACATTGTTTTGGGGAAACTTGGGGTTCAGCCTTCACTGCAGGTGCCCTAGTACTTTGGGAGATGTTTCTTGATGAACTCTGTGGCTTTTAAAGGCCTCAAATGCACCACTTCATATAATGCCCAAAGGTGCTTTTTCCAAAAGGCAACTGGACTTTCTTGGCTTTTTTCTTTGAAAACATTTCCCTTCTCATCCCAGAAGCTTCTTCAGTTCTCTTCTTGGATGTGAAGTGTGAACCTAAACATTTTCAAAGGAAAAACTGGAGAAAGTTCAGTTGCGCGTTTTGGAAAAGCCCTTTTGGGACAACCATGGCCTGGAGGGTTGAGAATGTCCAGAGCCTCTTAGGAAAGACCTTACCCTGGCTAGAGATCTGTGCCCTTCCTGGTCCATGGACTCCCCCAACCCTCCTTGCCTCCATCCCTGGACAATAGGATCGGCTGCCTCGCTCTTCCCTGCCCCCAGGTAAGGAAGTCCAAAGTACCCCTCCCTAGTTCGCAGCCAGGCCAAACCCAAGGGCGAGGGGCCCCAGAAGGTGTGAGGAGCTGCAAGGGAAGGGGAGGCACCTTCGCTTGCAGGGCCCGCGGTGTCTTTTGCAGGCAGCCGGTGAGGGTCCTCCACCTTCTCCCCCAGTCCGGCCGTTGCGCCCGGCTCAGAGGCTTCCATCAGCTGCAAGGGAGCCGCTGGGGCGAACAGCGGGGAGGGGAGTTTCGGGCGAAGCCAGCCTGCCCCCTCCCCAGCTGGGGGTCCGCGGGGGCTGCCCCCAGGTAGGGCCGCTCAAGCTCTCCCGGGAGCGAAGCGGTCCGCCTTTAAGCCGCCCCGAGCGGCTCCCCGGCACCTGAATCCCATCTCCGGCCGGGGCAGCTGGGGCTCCTTAAGGCCAGCCAGCCGGCCGGCCCGGCCCCGTTCCGCCTCGGCCGCGATGGAGCCCCTGCGGGGTCTGGCGGGCCAGGTGTGGGCCCTGCGGCGCTCCCTCCGCCTGCTGCTGGGGCTGCTGGTGCCCTGCCTGCTCCTGCTGCTCCTGCTCAGCGCGCTGCTCCTCCTGCGCTGGCGCTTCTGCCGGAGGGTGAGGGCCGGCCGGGGGCCCTCCACGCCCCCCCGCTTCCTCCCGGGGACCCCCAAGGCTGCCGTGCTCAGGCACGACCCGGGCGGCGGGATGGCCCGGCGGCAGCTCGCGCAGGCCGGGGGTGCAGCCCCGACGGGCCTCGCTGGCCCCCGGGCGCCCTGTTGCGGGAGGAGGGCGGCCGCGTCCTACCTGCCCGCCTCCAGCCCTCGGGAGAGAGGGGCGCCGCCCACAGCCGGCTCCTCCTCCAACGCCTTGGACAAGCACCCCGCCTTGGTGCCCCCCAACTCTCTTGCCACCTCCTCCGGCACTGGGGTAAGGAGGGGCCGGAGCCTGTGAACCGGAGCCTTTCGGATTTAATGGGCAGCGACTTCCCAGCCAGGCTTCCCCCTGCCATGCTGGGGGTGGGGGTGGGGGGTGGGGAAGCTCCCACTTAAATGGGGACTTTGCTTCCTCTCCAACTTCAGGGACCGAACTCACTGATGGGGCAATAAACTAATCCAGCTGGAAGCATTGAGCCACCCCCAAAGGCAGCTCCACCTCCGCCTCCTTCAAGGCCAGGCTCGGGATGGCCAACAGGAAGGGAAAGGCTGGGAAGCCTCCCTTGACTGGATGGGGGGAATTGGTCAAGTTTTCCCGGTTGGCTCTTTCGTCCGCTTGTTCCTGGCCAAAAGGGGGCAGCAAAGGGGTCTTGGTGAGAGTGGGAACTCTGGCAACTCCCTCCCCTCTCCGTAGGGTGTCCTGGAGAGGGTCTTCTCCAGCTGCCACACCAGCACCCAGAGGAAGCCCCGTACCTGCAGCAGGGTGGCACCGGGCACCCATTCCAGCACCGGGCCTTTTGAGTTTGGCAGCAGCATCCGGCCCGGGGACAGGAGGGCCCACCTCAACTCGGCCAACTTCACGGCCTCGCAAGGGCCCGGCCTCGACTCGGACTTTGGCGCCAGTGCTGGTGAGTGGGGGCCAAGAGGGGCCGAAGTGGGTTGGAGTTCCTGGCATCCAAGTGCCTCAAGGCAGCGGAAGAATTGGAAAGGAATCGGGGGGGGGGCCTGCAATGTCACGGGTCATGCCCAGAGGAGGGCCCTCCTGGAGGAGATGGCTGTGTTGAGCCAGGGTGACCGAGTGCCACCTTTTCCAGGAATGAAGGGCCCTGAAGGGAGAGGCAGAGGGAAACAAGGGAAACTTCTGAGATGCAGAGCAATACAGTCATGGAACAGGCTGTTCCAAGGGCTTGAAGAAGGGGCCACAAGGCCGAAGCTCCACAGCCTGTGCCAAGGAATCATAGTAGATATACTGGTAGGGCTTCAACAGCTAGTGACTGAGCAACCTGAGGCCCTGCCCCCGTCTACATTCCACCCTGCAGGTCATTTCCCAGTCTGGGTGGGGGGAAGGGTCAGGTGGTCCTTTCTGGAGACCAACCAAGCTTCCTTCCTGCAAATCTGGCTCCTGCAATTCACTTGGGGGGGGAGGGGAGAAGCCGGTTTCTCCACTCACCTCTTCTGAGATTTTTTTTTTGCTTCAACCGTCCCTTGAATCATGTACTGATCCCTGGATGGAGATCTCCAGACAGGTGGCCCCTGTTTGCACAACACTCTGGCTCCTGAATTAGCAGCTTAGCTTGGCATGCTGTGCCACCTGCAGGTCATTCCCCAGCTGGGCTGGGGGAAAGGATCAGGTGGCCCCAATAAACGCATTCAATTTTGCAGCTACTAAGATTGCTGGAGGAGCAGGCACAAAAACAGCCAGGGAAGGGATTGAAGCCTGGGAAAAGGCCCCCTCAGCAGTCAATAGGAATGCTGATTTACCCCCAGCCAATCAAGTACTCAGAAGGCGAGGCAGCACAAATGACAGCTAACTTAAAAGCCAGCTATCAACACACCCCAATCAACATCTAAAAAGCAACAGGCTTTTTACAACAGGCACTGTAAGTATCACACTCTGCTAGAGAGACGTTCCCTGAAGATGGGCTCCAGAACGAGTCCGGAAGTTCGGAAGACAAAATGTCTGGTCCCGGTGACCGACCCAGATTAGACCCTGCAACATTATCCTGGGACAGGTAGATTCGCCTCCATTCATGTGCACTGAGGGTCAGCTGAGTGGCCAGTGTGCATGAGGGTCATCACATCTAAGCATGGCCTAAGATGTCATGTGACCCCCACAGACTAAATTGCCACCATATTTGAAGGGAGAATTCTTAGATCAGATTCTCCAGGGGTCCAAAAGAGAGAGAGGACCTCTTCTCACAAAGCCCTTGTCCCAACCTACCATCCCCGACCTCATTGGCCTCTGCCAGGCCAGAGAGGCAGCAAGAGGCATGACAGAGGTTGATCATGCCATCCTTGTTCGGAAAGGGTTCCTGAGCTGCCGGGGTTGGCCATGGGTGGTCTATTTGGATACTGCAAAGGCAATACACAACCCTTTTGGAACTAAGTTGAGCACATTGTGAAGACCAAGTCGATATCTCAACCTTATCAACTTTAAGATATGTGGACAACAACTCCCAGAATTGTCCACACATCTTAAAGTTGACAAGGTTGAGAAATGCTGGCTTAGAAGGTTGGCTGATGGTCTTGATGGCATTACCAGCCCAACCCAACTGCTGTGGTTGGAAGATCTCCTTGACTTTCTTCCCTAAGACAGTCCCCCCAAGGATGTTTGAGCTGCGATGACCACAACCTGGTCTTCCGAGCTAGTAATTCTTCTGACATTTCGAAGGCGGCCGCCTTCCTCGGCTTCAGCTGAAGGACGTGATTGCTTCTGACACCAAACCTCCTTAAGCTCCTGACAGATCTACCAACACTCAACCAGATCGTCTTCCGCTAGAGAGGGAGAGGAGTGATTAATGAAGAGACATAAGGAGGGTGGGTTGTGTGTGTTTTTTAAAACATCTCTGTAGTACTCAACTCTGCCAACAAATACGTAATCTGGATACGAGTATGGAAAAGGCTCCTTGGGCACCCTTGGATTCTTCCAGATCGCCAGCTGAGCAGAAAAGTGAGAGCTAAAACAAGGCAGACTCGGAGGGGCAACCAGCCCCCTTCTTTCCTCCTCGCACGGCTCTCGCTGAAGTCTCTTTTGGGCACTTTTCTGTATTTCTTTCCGTCCTCGTTGTAGTTCTGCAGACCTCCCCCGCGCATCGCTAGCACGTTTTGCCCACATAAAGGTTTCCTATTTAGGGGATAACGTAGAATCACGTAGGTTGATATATAATGAGACTCCTGGCAGGATCTCTTGATAACGTGGCAGCTTCTCTCTCTCTCTCTCTGTGCAGGCGTTTCTGTCCGGATCTTGTCAACTGACAGCGAAGGCAGCCCCAACACACCCGTTGTGCATCGCCAACAAGCCGAGCACTTTGAGTGGGACTACTACGACCCCAGCTACAAGAGGAAAGCTCAGCTGCATCATTCCCTGCCTCCCATCTGCAGCAAGCAGTACTGGCTGTAACCTAGGAGAGTCCACAAGTTACCTTTGCCGCACTTTATGCGTGTGCAGAAGAGAGGTGGCTTGTTGGGATTTATTGTGAGGAATTTTAGTTGTGGTCTTTCTCTTTGGCTTGCACTCTGCTTATTGGGAGAGATTTCCTGTTTCGGCTGAATGTCTCTCCCATGGAATATTTTCACATTGCAAAAAGCTTCACTTACCCTTATCTGCACCTGTATACCAGGGGTCTCCAACCTTGGTGACTTTAAGACTTGTGGACTTCAACTCCCAGAATTCCCCAGCTCTGGGAGTTGAAGTCCACAAGGCTTAAAGTCGCCAAGGTTGGAGACCCCTGCTTTATACAATACTTCTGTGCCCAAATACGAACCTTTTCAGCACCCCCCGTGTGGGGCTGCCCACTTCATTCCTCACAGTCCGTTTCCGCAGTCCTTTCAAGCACAAGACCCCCACTGACACTCAGCGCTAGGTAGCCCTGAACAAAAAACCTAGTTAGAATGCCACCAGTCTAATCTCAATAACCCAAAGTGATTTCACACCTGACCAGGGAGAGAGACACGGTCAACCTCACAGGTGCTCATTCTGCACATCAGCACAAAGCATGGGATGCAAGGAGAGAGACCTGGTGGGATACAAACCTTGATGGCAACACGTGATGCCTGATTTTATATAGTGTTTATTAAAGATACTGAACTTTTTCTCTTCCGTTTCTTTTTAAATGTGTATGAAAGCAGAGGCTGAGCTGATGTAACCTCTGTGCCTGGTCTTCCTGGGTGTGCATAAGACACCTGGCCACAAAAAGCTGTGTTAAGACAAAGGTAGATGCATTAAGGAGAATGCAATAAGGATGCAAGAATGAAAGTTGCCAGTGATTGTTCAGAAGATGGGAGAGTGTGACCGGCGCCTCCCAATTTCTTGAACTATCTTGTCAAATTTAATTTATGTGTTTTAGTGTAGGGTTCTCCCAACAGGTTGGCTAAATCAATACCACCGTTTTCAATCTAGCATAGCTTTTCCTCTCCTAGCAAACTCTGTGTAAAAGGAGAAAACTTGCTAGGGCTCTCAATTTGAGGTGGAAAGGGAAAGATTGCGACCTTTAAAAGCAGGCCATCAAATAATGTTAAAAGAAATGCTGAACACATACATTGCAGGTGGTTCAAATACTCTTTGACAGCTGAACTGCAACTGAACACCTGAATGTTTGCAGAGTTACTTTGATGTCCCTCTGCACTATAAATATTTTCCAAGTGAACTGAATTAAAAACCCAAGAAACACTGAAAGCATTTCGGCAAAATCTTTGCACTTCATTTGAATTTTGGCAAGCTTCATTATCTCAAAAAAGGGCTCCTATTCCTGGAAGCATACACATCGATCCTGCGAGCAAAAACACCGCATGACAAGAAAACATACGCGGCTTTAGCAAAGTGAGGGAAGATGGTGCACTAAATGGAGCTGCTATCCAAAATGCTCACATCAGCATCTAAATTGCACAAATCGTGTCATTCAATGACCTTCCATTCTGAATGATCCCAGCCCATTTTCTGAGTTTTCCAGAGGGAAGAGCTGGCTTTTTTCACTCATGTCAAGCTATTGTTTATCCATGGTCTGTACAGCAAAAATACAAGTTACAGTGGGCCGAGCTCAGAACAAGCCATATGATATCCTAGCACGTGTGAACTGAGCTGTAACTTATCTGCCAAAACCTCGTGTATCCATAAGACACTCGTGGTAAGAGCAATCCCTTACTTCAGGAATGGCCTTCAGCTCCTTAACCATCCCTTACCTTTCAGGCAGGGGATGCACCCCCTTTATTACCGTTATTTCCGCAATCCGGATCTCACATCGCTACATTTGGTTAGGAAAGACATAAGAGTTCAGCCAGTTTAAATCACGGATGGCTTAGTTTTTTAGTGTGAATCCAGCCTGTGTGGTATAGACAATAGTCCCATTGGGCCATGCCTAGAACTTCCTTGCACCCCAAACACATTTTCTACACCAGTTTTCCCAGAGGGGAAATCAGAAGTTAAAACGGCAACTGGCTCCTGGAGATGACCCGAGCCTTTCGGTTAAGAGGTCTGCAAAAGGTCCTCTTTCCCAGAGACACAGGCAGCCAATCAGCACTGGAAAGAAGAGGGGAGGGGGCTGGATGGGAATTAGGGTCCCTATCCCTGAACTGATTTCAATCTAGACACAATGTTGATTGCAACAAACGTCAGCGTCTGACTTGGATTGGCTGAAGATGTTTAGCCAACCGATAGCTAGAGAGGCTGTTGATTCAAAATATCCAGGGTTCTGCTGAAGAAGCCATGGCCAAAGAGCGGGGAAGGCTGGCCTCTTGGCTGAAGCCGTGATGTGGATGCTCACCCAAGGCAAAGGAAACTGACAGGAGCCCTGCTTCGAGAGGGGGAGGGCAGGCAGAAAGGCTGGCTATAAATCAAAGGCATAAAACAACGAACCCAAATCCCACAAAGGGGCTTCCAAATCGGTGTTCACCGCTTCTCCTGACCGATGAGTTCATGGTTCAGGCAGAGAGAAGCCTGATGTATGGAAGGCGTCTTGGTGAGGGGACTAGAAGACAACCCTTCCCAGGGGGCTAGAGCTGCCCTTCAGTTTACAGGCTTTGACTGGGTTTGTTAGAAAAGGGAAAAAAGCCAGGCCGGCATCAGCCCTTCTTCAGGATTGGAAAGCTGGAGTGCAAACTTCCTGCCCTGCAGCCATCTTCCTCTGCAGAGTGCAAGGCTCCGAAGCCGAAGGAAAAGGGGTAAGAGCTCAGATCCACTTTAGATTTCTTCAGAAAAATAAATTATAAATACAAATAAAAACACCGAGCGCCATTAACAGAGTTACTGAAATTGGGATAATTGGCCTGTGGGTGGAATGCATCCACTGACTGACAAAGGGTGAACACAAAAAGAAGAATGTAAATCAGGAGATAATGAGAGGGGCAGCCCCTCCGTCATGGTATTAATTGCACCCGGCTCTGCTCGAGCTGCGTTCCGTGAAGCTCCAGCCTTTTCCAAGTACTCCAGCATTAAAAAGGGTTTTGTGTGAAGACTATTAAGCTCACTTAGTCACATCCTACATTGAATGTTTTGTGATTCTGTGCTTTGGAGGGTACACACCACTGGAAGCGTCTTCTATTCAAGCTCTCCCAGAACACTTAATTTCTCCACAAGTGGCCTTGTGAATCACGCTTCAAGTCAGTAACAAGCCAGCATTGGGATGAAGGTTAACGAAAGTTAGTTGATGGCTCGGTGGCCTCCGGAGGAAGAGCCCAGATCTCTGTTGGCCTCAACGGATGGTGCGGTGTGAGCTGCTCGGTCAAAGCTCTCTTGTCAGAGCTTCACCCAAAGTGAAAGGAGGAGGCCCGATGAGGCCAGTCAGATTCACATAAACACTAAGCCGCATGGACCCCTGAGGGTGCTTTGTCCAAAAGGCAGCCGGGTTTTCTTTTGTTCTTTGAAGACGTTTCTTCGGTTCTTAACTCTGGTTGGGAAGCGAAATGTCCTCAAGGGGAAAGTCCAGCTGCCTTCTGGAAAAGCTCCTTTGGGGCAACCCTGACCTGGCAGGTGAGACTCTCCAGAGACCACCAGCAGGGACCCAATGCAGGCGGGGAGGAAGCGGCCAGGGGAGCCCAGCAGGAAAGCAGGAGGAAGAGGCGGCTGGCCCAGCAGAGGAAGGCTGAAGCCAAAGCCACGCGGCCACGTCCTGCCCCTCCGCTGAAGGCATGACTGGAGCAACTGGGAGGCCTCTGAGGAAGAGCCACCCGGGGTCTATTTCCATCTTCCCCAGGGAGACGAGAAATGCCGAAGGAGTTTAATTGGGAACAAAGGCACATTTAGGCCAGCTTGAAGTTATGGGACTTTTTTTTATTTTTGTGGGTTTTTATTAATTTTTTTTTACAGGCTATTGTTGTACCCGTTGCTAAAGCTGCTGATTCTGCCATAAAACTAGAACAGAAAATTTCCCAGAAGTCAATTCCCCTCCTCCTCCTCCTCCTCCTCCACTGCTTGCCTACCTCCCAACCAACCAACCAAACCAGGCAACCAACTGCCTTACATTGACAGCAGGCTCAGCGGAGAGAGCCTGAGACGCAGCTACATGAGTCTGACCGAGGAATGAAGAAGCCAGGAGTCCACTGGCCGTTAGGACTGCCCTGTACAACGTGGCCTGTTCTGGAGTTTGGTCCACTCTGGCCGCAGCTTAACCATAGAGATCGTCATCGTTGTCTTCACTGTAAACGTTGCCTCCGCCGCTGCCTCCGGTGCCCTGGCTTGGCCCAGCACCACCTTGGTTACCTGATGGAAATCTGCCAGGAGAAGCACAGCGGGGGGGGGGGGGGGGGGAGGGGGGGGGACGACGAAAAAAAACGGGGGGGAGGGGGGGGCCCCCCCTAACGGGAGTTGGGTGCCCAAATCTGGAAAACCAAAAGGGGAACCCCCCCCCCCCCCCTTTTACAGGCCAGAATCTCCTGCCTCAGACTAACTAAAGAGAGCCCCAGACAGGGGAGGCAGCCAATGCAGGAACGGCCTTTCTGATTCATTTATTTCTTAAATTTCTCCCAGCTTAGCTGTTCTTGTTTTCATACAACCTCTTCATTCTGCGTAGACAACGAAGAACGAGGGGCATCTCCAGATGCAATTAGAGATCTGGACAGAACCTGGGAGCACTGAACTGGGAGATGGTGAGAGGAGGAGAGAACCAGTTGGGTGTGTGGACTAAGCAGTCAGACTAGGACTGGGACGAGCCAGGCTCAGGGACCCCCTCGGTTATGGGGGTCACCAAGAGGGTTTGAGTCAGGAAACAAGTTTATTTCACTCAATTCTTTTAGCAAAACCTGGGAGAGGGAGCATCAGGCACACTGCCCGGAGAATATGCAAGAGAGAAATATGGAGAAGCAGATGAGCAGCTCCTCTTGGCTCCACAGGCCCTTTGCCAGAGGAGAACCTCACCTGACTGTTTGTGGAAGTCATGGATGCCCAGATAGGGAAGCAGATACTCCAGGCATCCACAAAGACGATTACCTGCCGACCGACAGTGCTGAAAAGAAGGGGCAAGAGGGGAAAGGGCACAAAAGACCCCTGGGAGTACCTGAAGCTGCCAAAGCCACGACTCTGCTGCAGAGTCTGTGCAAACATCTCGTATTTGCGGATGTCATTGTCGCTGACTGACCGGCGGGCAAAACGCATGGCTTCCTCGAAGTGATCCCGACGGATCTCGGGGACCGGGTCGTCCTCTTCGACCTCCTAAAGCAGAGCAACGGGTGTGGCCGTCAGCATCGGGGACCGGTGAAGGTCAACCCTTGGAGACCAGAGTCGGCCTCCCACGGCAGCCCCTCCCCCAAGTGCCAGCTGCTCACCATGGCCGAGGGGTTGGTCTGCCTCTCCCGTTCCCGCCTGATCTCGCTCTCGATTGACTCGCGGATGGCCAGCTTGCAAGCCCGCTGGCAAATCTCCGTGAGGTCAGCTCCCGAGAAGCCATTGGTCATTTTTGCCAGGAACTCCAGATCCACGTCCTGAGAAGCAAGGAAAATTCCACGTATGGCATGTGCCCTTCAAATCCCCGCTGGCAGCTGGCTTTCATTCACCCGCCTCACGAACAAGGAACACAACTCCGGGGGAAATTAGGAAAATTTAAGCAATAATAGCTGCAACTGTAGGAGACCCAGAACATATTTTAACAATCTCTTTTCTAAAGC